TAGATAGATAGATAGATAGATAGATAGATAGATAGATAGATAGATAGGGAATTTTCCAAAAGGAAATGTGGTCGTGAGGTTGTGAGGCTCCATCTGCTACATAGAACAGTATACAGTGGGCACATTAAGTTAGACAAAGCTCAAAAAAGGAATATTTTATTAGGAAAACATTGCATGAAAACAAGATAGTTACAGGTCAAAAGTTCAAAATGATCCAAATATCCTAAAATTCTGTACATTTGATAGAAGGTGATTCCCCGCATTTTCCATTTCAAAGGATGAGTCTTGGCTCCAGCAGAGAGGCCCAGTTTTCTGTTATCTGTGGACCAAAGTGAGGATGCTCACAGAACTGGGACAACACCTGCAGTAAAACCAGATGATGCCCCCCCTGTGGGCCCGCCAGCTTACCCAGCATCCTCTGGACACGGCATACTCCACCCGCTCCGAGCCGTCTGGGTTCTGATAGACCAGGTCAAACTTGCCAGGTTCAGCAGGAGCTAAAGGAGAAGCACAAAGCAGAGCTAATCTCACACCTGGATGCTGACTTTACCTGTTTCACATGACGTCCATGCACTCTAAGGCCAATCCAAACTCAGAGCAAGCCCAGAGACACAGAGCGTCGGCTCACTGCTTAGTGAGGGACTCTGCTTTGGGCTTTTCACCTGTGGCTGTTCAGTATAGATACGATATATTTATACACACAATATATAATATACGTATTATATATAAATATGGCAGAAACCTTAGGGCAGACGCGGGGGAGGGTTCCGTCCGAACACACACTAACATATTGCCTTGTTCTGGTTGTCAGTTTAACATGCTAATAACATGCTAATAAATGCATATTAGCTAGTCTGGCTCCATGGATCCATATCTGAGCTACAGCTCTCTGTGGCCCTGCTTCTCACTCCATAGAACTGATCCCACACTTCGTTATTCATCACTAAATGTGTCAAAGTCCACATGACGCCTACCTTCAGAGACAGTCTGAAGTTCAAGTTCAATCTGTTTGGTTCCTGGGTCAAAGCTCACAATCCTTCCCTCCTAAAACATGGAGACAGTGGGCTGGTGAGACAGGACATCCCCAGCATGCCATTAGGTTCACATGGGTCGGCTCCACCCACCTTATACTCAGATACCTCTGGTGTATAGTTGTCTGTCAGCTCCAGTATCTGGAAATGAAAACATCGTATTTCAGAAATGAAACCTGGAATCAATTGATGGAAAAAATCTAATAAAAGTCCCTCCACTACTGCTAAGGCTCAGCTGGAGATAAATACTGCAAAGACAGAGAAGTAAAGGCCCTCTGAGGCCTAATATGGGTTATTTTTAAAGGCAGAACATCGGCCAGCTTCAGCAATAGTGGCTTTGGAGAAAGATTCTGCACGGGGAAAGTTTCATGCATTTTTTATGTGCATTCAATCCAGTTTCTGGTAGTTCTGCACTGCTTTTGTTTTTCACTTTCCCTTCTGGGTTGGGATTACCCTAACTCTAACCCTAGGACCAGAGCTGGAAGGCTCAGGAACCATTTAGCAGGTGTTTGTTGTTTAGCTCGAGGCTTGGACTACATCGCTCCATGTGTGGTGACCCTGTACAGACATCGGACCGTTACGCAGGCTTTTTAGAGGCCCAGACTTACCTTGAAGGCTATTTTCCGGCCCACCTGTGGGGGGGCGGCCAGCAGGGGCATGGAGCTGTAGTCCTGCTTAGGAAGCCCTGCGGCTCCGTTTGCTGCTCCATTCTACACCCAGAGACACAAGTAAGGGACACAGGACACAGCCAGCAGGTGGAGCAAAGCCCTGTCTTCCACCCCCCCGGGGGCGGTCCAGGTTGAACATCATTCGGGCCCATTTCTAAGCCATGAGTGGAGTTGCATGCTAGGCCTCTAAAGGCCCTCTGACAGCTTTGCAGCTTCCACACTGAAACCCTTTTCCTTTTTATTTGACCCGTCATTTTTGACTCCAGGCCCAGAGCAAACTTTCCAGTGGTGTGTGGGAGACCGACCTGGAGGAGGACAGACGCGTTGGTCAGGGAGTCCGTCCTGTAGGAGGTGTCCAGGCCACGCTGGTCTTCAGTGGCCCTGCTGCCATCGCCCCCCACCGGCTGTGCGGGGCCTCCCTCTCTGTGGCGGCGGGGCGCCCCCCCCGCGCGGCGGGCTGCAGGCTGTGGGCTCAGCAGCTGGGTGTCCTCGCCCCCCCCCCCAGTGAGGGGTGAGGCCTTGGCTTTGAGCCTACGGGCTGGGGAGTCTGTTCCTGAGCAGGGGGCAGAGGGAGGGGGGGGTTTGGTCTTTGGGGGTGCTTTTGGGGCAGCGGGGGTAGGGGGAGGTGCTTTGGCCGCCCTAACCTTCAGGGCCCCCCCCTCATCGCTGCTGCTGGCACTGGAACTGGAGGGGCTGGGGCTTTTCTGTGCTGCTGGGGGCTGCTTGGTGCTTTTGGCTCTGTGGGGGGCGCCAGCTCCTTCAGGGGGGGGCGGCTTTTTATTGGTCCTTTTTTCTTTGTTTTTTTTGGCCTTCACCACAGCATGGTTGGTGCAGTCGGGGGGGGATTCTTCCAATTCTCTCATCTTCTTCTTCTTCTTCTTTTTGCGTTCCTCCCCCGCCGGCACATCCTCTCTGTGTCTCTTCCTGCAGGCCACAGCGGGGGTGTCTGGACGGCTGCTGAGCGGGTCCAGCTGAGCCCCAGAGTCCAGCTGAGCCCCAGAGTCCAGCTGAGCCCCAGAGTCCACCTGAGCCACAGAGTCCACCTTCACCCTGTGAAAGGAAGGGGAGGGGCCACATTGTGAACAGAACAGAGGTGGTCCAGATCTCTTCAGTCTACAGGACGTAAAGGCTCACCAGGTTTTCAAATGACAGCTTAGTGAGGACCTGAACAGCCATCCCCAGCCCCGGTCAGGGTTGTTGTATCTTGGTGTGTTTAAAGCAGAGGAGTGCTGACAGACTCCTGTCAGACCTTCTCCTCACAGTTTAAACAATCCCTCCACCTAAGTCTGCTCAGACCTGTCTACCAAGTGTTGATGCAGCCAATGAAAAGTAGGGGAAATCCACAAAGGTCCACTGGACAGACCCCCATGAGTCAGAAACCTCCATGAGTCAGAAACCTCCATGAGTCAGAGACCTCCATGAGTCAGAGACCTCCAAGAGTCAGAGACCTCCATGAGTCAGAGACCCGCATGATTCTGAGACCCCCATGAGTCAGAGACCTCCATGAGTCAGAGACCTCCATGGGTCAGAGACCTCCATGAGTCACAGACCTCCATGAGTCACAGACCTCCATGAGTCAGAGACCTCCATGAGTCTGAGACTTCCATGAGTCAGAGACCTCCATGAGTCAGAGACCCCCATGAGTCAGAGACCTCCATGAGTCAGAGACCCCCATGAG